TAATATTAATTCACCTGATCTTGCTCAATATTTAGATTTATATTCACAATATCCACAAACATTAACATGTCCATGTACTGATATAACGATAAAATATGAAGAATTTCTTGAAATTGATTATACATTACATCAACTATGTAGTAGTACTTTTGTTACTGATGATTGGCTTGATTATCTTGATGAGGCTGATACTGATGATGTATCATACATAGCCGATATTCGAGTTTCAGGCATATCTATGTTTCAAGCACTGAAAACATTTTGTGAATCAAGTAATAAAACAATTTCTGATAGTTTATCTCAATTTTATTTAACCGAGTACGCTTCTCTAAATGTTATATCTAAACAATTATTTCAATCACAATCACGAATATTAATGAATCAGTTCATTTCTTCAACAAACAATACTTTTTTATCATTGTTACAAACCTTACGTGATACAACGCAAGCCAATACACCAATGTCAGCTGTACAATCAGCGTACATTTTTTTCTCGGACGGGACCGATGGAATAGTATTACAAAGTCTGGTCGAATATCAATGCTCCTGTACATCGACACCACAGTGCACCCTACCATTACAGATGTACCACTATTATTTTCCTATACAGTTTAGTATTCCGGGTTTACGATTAGGATGTTTTGTCATCGAAGGAGTATTACAATCGACTTTAGAATGTTTTTATAATCAAACATGTCTCAACAGTTTACAATCGTATATAATATCGCCCATATCAATAAATGTAATACCACTTAATTCATCATTATCTAGTCAATTTAATGAAACATCAACTATACAAGAAGTTGTTAATGAATTAATGGTTGATAAATGGAATTTATCTAGTATATACGAGAATTATTATAAAGAATGTCAACCAATAAAATGTAGTTACAGTTATGTGGATAGGAATAATATAGTTATCATTATCACTACTCTTATTGGGCTAATTGGTGGACTAGTAAAAGTTTTGAGATTTATGATACCAAAATTAGTGAAATTTATACCACGATTAATGAAGAAAATACGAAAATACTTCAGGTCCTCAAGATTAGAAACTGGTAGGAGAAATTGATATTTCTGTAGTATGCACAATTATATTGAGGATTGAAATCACTTGAAAATTCGATATTTTTCAATTTTATGACAAAATCTTATGTTCCAAAATAAAATTTTGTAATATGTATTCTCTTTTATCATAATTTTATGAGAAAGATGGATTAGACTTAGACCGCTATAACATTCGTAAAATATAGAAAATTGTTTTTGTCTATTTTAGAGAATAATGCTACTGAACCGACTATTGGAAAATGGCATAAAATAAAGAATTTTCTTCAAAACCTGAATTTATTTTCATCAATACCACCATCAACTAATGAATATGATCTTCGGAATCAA